ATATACTTTACAGCTGGGTGTCATGTACTCTCCATTTCACAAAGTTGTCCCTTTGTGGTTAAAATTTATCAGTGAATTCAGGAGTTATCATAGCGCTCCATCATTACAAAGTTCCGTATTGGTTAAAAATAAGAAGTTTATTGTGTTTCAGGTGAAAATTTGCACAGCTAGCTTGTTCCGTGACATTGGCTCTAATTTTCACAATGCGCCAGCATTCTCATCACTGCGAGTCTATTTGTTCTGGTTCTATTGCTCTCGCTTCACTTCTCCTCCCTGTCTTCCTGTCTTTGCTTCTGGGTAAACGTTGACGGTTTGGTCTTATACAGTTGATTGTTTGAAGGAGCACAATTCAAGGGTGGTGTTGTTTTATAAGCAATCTATTATTTGGTTGAAAAGTAACCTCCAGAAGTAGTTTCCGTTCCAAGTTCAAGTGTTTTCTGGTGATTGGTGTCTTCTAGATTCTATATAGTAAGTCTGGTGGTCAGTTTTAGAAATTTGAATTTTGTGCCACATTTCTCTCCCATTCTATCCAGGACTATCTTTCGTGTTCTCAGACGGAATTGTCAGAAGCAGCAGTGCCCTGACACCATCCAGTTTGTTTGGTCTAAGGCAGCAGTTCTCAACCTGGGGGTTGCGATTCCTTTGGGGGGTCACCCGATTCATAACAGTAGCAAAATTACAGTTATGAAGTAGCAATGAAAATAATTTTATGGTGGGGTGGGGAGGCTCACCACAACAGGAGGAACTGTATTAAAGGGCTGCGGCATGAGGAAGGCTGAGAACCATTGGTCTCAGGTTCGAAGCAGCTGTGGTTAGTCTGAACGACTTGTCCTATGAATTAGTTACATATTTAAGTCTTCGGTTTACCCTATTCTCCCTTGTTCCAAATGAGGACCAACCAATGATGTATTTAAGCCTCTAAGGTCAAAGACACTGTGACCAGACTAGGATGTAACACATTATTTTTATAAACTACCTTATGCTACTTGCTTGAGTTGTCCCATGAAGCTATGGTCCTAAATCAATCCCATGAGTTGTATGAATATGTAAAGCAAGTCTCCATAAATATGTCTCATATGTATTTCCTTATATATAGGGATAAGCAGGAGACATAAATATGTATATACCCACAAGTACACCTATATACGCTTGTGCATGTACTCAATATGTCCTCCTATATACACATATGCCTACCTACTACCCACACGTCTTTTGGGCTGTTGCAGAAGTGTGTATGCGATATCATTTAGTGAATTTATCCCTTCTTCTTGTACTACCTAGGGTCTTCACTTACTTGGTCAAGTTTGTGCAGCCTTCAGTGCGAACAAATGTCTATTATGTACGAAGTAATTCCCGCTAATGCTCTACCTACAGCCCTGGTAACCATCAAAGACCACTGGTTTCTGGGTGTCAATCTATTTTAGAATATTTGTCTTTTTGGGAATAAGGTATTTCACTCAGCGTAATTTCCTCCAGACACCATCAGTTCTAAGTTTCATTATTCTTTAGAGTCCTGTTGTACATACCACCATTGATAGACCATCTGATGATGAGCACTTGGGCTGTACCTATCTTTTTGCTACCGGGAATAATGCTGCAATGAACACAGGTGCGCACATGTTTATTCATGTCACTGCTCTTATATATACTGTAGAAGTGGAGTTGTTGAACCATAGGGCATTTCTATTTCTAGCTTTCAGAGGAATCGCCACACCATTTTCTATCGCGGTTGGACTGAACGGTGAACTATTTTCCTATCCCGATAACAGTGTAAAGAGTTCCAATCTGCCAGTAACCATGCCAGCATTTGTTGTTTTCGGTCTTAATCTGATTTTTCATTAACAGCTTCAGCAGCACGGGGAACCATGGCCTAGACAAGGGGTCCTCAAACTTTTAAAACAGGGGGCCAATTCACTGTCCCTCCGACCTATTGGAGGGCCGGACTATCGTTTAAAAAAAAAAAGATGAACAAATTCCAATGCACACTGCACATATCTTATTTTGAAGTAAAAAAACAAACGGGCAAAAACACTCAGCGGGCCGGATAAATGTCCTTGGCGGGCCGCATGTGGCCGTAGCCTGGCCTAGACGCACTATTTCCCTAGGGTTAGCAAAGCAGGAAGAAGGGCATCCTTCTAAAATTATACAATTTCTTCATGAAGTTTTTGGATACAGTTTATTTGGGAAAGGCAAGATAAAGGCTCAATCCTTTATGGGCCAGTTCTCAGAAGAGGCTCACTCCTTCGTACGTGCCATCACATTTTTATTCCTTGCTGTTGCTGGCTCATTATGAACTCAGTTGCCTTTTCTTCTTTAGATGTTGTTATTAAATATTTGGCAAATTCAATCTTGCTTCTCACTGAACTCTTAGCAACGTTAAACCACAGGATGTTCTCTTTTCTAAAACAGGTTCTTTTATTTTTTAAAAAGAGCTGCTATTGAGGACACAGATTTAAAAATACTAGTTTTCATAAATAAGGAATCTACAGTATTGTCACTGCTATTAAGCTGACTTCTACCCATGGCAACCCCATGTGTGTCCGAGCAGAAACTGTACTGGATAGGGCTTTCCGTCGGAAACAGATCACCACTCCTTTCTTTCGAGACACCCTGGGGGTGGGGTAGGGGACTCACGGATGGACTTGACCACCAATCTTCTGGTAAACAGTCAAGTGCACTTCAATTATTTGCACCACCCTGGGATTCCATCTATTGCATAAGAAAGTCATACAACTTGCTGAGAGACGTTAGCTCCTAAGTATGTGAATGGGACTTTCTGATTGTGAAATTCACCATTACTGATAGCTACACAATTTTGTGAATGCTTCTTTGTGTGTGCATGTTTTAAATTTACCTGTATGAAACATCCTCAGGCATGTTTTCCTTGGTTTTTTCTTTATTCATCATTTCTTCAGAATTGACTCCATTTGGCTCAGGTTTAAAAAGTGTTTCATAAAGAACTCTTTCAGTTTTTCTAACCTTTAGAAGAAGAAGAAAATTTTCCTTTTGCAAAACATTCTTAACAATACTTATTATTTATTAGTAACTCTAAAATGATTCCAAATGAAAAGCTGATTTTAAAATGCTCTTCTTGTTAGATGTTGTTGACAGAGTAGAACTGCCCCATAAAAATTTTAATCCGAGAATCAACAGCCCTTAGCTCAGGTAGCGACAGAGGAGAGCCGCTCTCCCTACAGGCGGCGCAGGAGCTTGCCCGGGTGATGCACGCGGAGGGCTGTGGGGCGTCTAGCTCCCCTTTGCATGGGGAGGCATGAAGTAGGGTAAGCGGGGGACTCCACATCCCCGCATGCCCCGCGCCGGGCCCTAGCTCATCTGCGGTGTATCAGGCGCGTGGAGGCAGCAGTCCCGGTGGCGCCCGTGGGGACGGAGGAGGGAATGAGTGAAGAGAAGCGGGGCTCCGGCACTACCACAGGCTGCGGGCTGCCCAGTACAGAGCACATGCGGGCCGCCAACCAGGGCAAGACCCCCATCAGCCTTCTGCAGGAGTCTGGGACCAGCATAGGGAAGACGCCCAGGTACGACCTTCTCAAAGCCGAGGGCCAAGCCCACCAGCCTAATTTCACCTTCCGGGTCACCGTTGACAACACCAGCTGCACTGGCCAGGGGCCCAGCAAGAAGGCACAAGGCAGCTGAGGCGGCCCTCAACCACCTCAGAGGGGGAGCATGCTGGAGTCGGTCCTGGAGGACAGCAGTTCTTTTTCTCCCCTAGACGCTTTGCTGCCTGAATAGTCCGGTTTGTACTGCTGCAGTGGCTGCTTCCCCAGTTCTGTCTGCTGTCCCAACCAGGAGCCCCCCGATGGAGGTGCAGCCCGAGTGCAACCCTGCTGGTGCTCTGCAGGAGCTGGTGGTGCAGAAAGGCTGGCGGCTGCCTGAGTCCACCCGGCCAGCCCACCGCAAAGAGTTTACCATGCCGTGCCGGGTGGAGCGTTTCATTGAAATTGGCAGCAGCACTTCCAAAAAACTGGCAAAACATAACGCAGCAGCCAACATGCTGCTTCGGGGGCACACGGTGCCTCTGGATGCCCGGGATGGGAATGAGGCGGAGCCTGAGGACGACCACTTCTCCACTGGCGTAGGCTCCCGCCTGGATGGACCGCGGACGGACCGGGGCGCAGGCTGCACCTGGGATTCTCCGCGGAATTCCGTGGGGGAGAAGCTCCTGTCCCTGCGCAGCTGCTCCCTGAGGGACCTGGGTGCCCTGGGCCCTGCCTGCTGCCACGTCCTCACAGAGCTCCCAGAGGAGCAGGCCTTCCACATCAGCTACCTGGATGTGGAGGAGTTAAGCCTGAGCAGGCTCTGCCAGTGCCTGGTAGAGCTGTCCACAGCTGGCCACTGTGTGTCATGGCTCTGCCACCACTCGGGAGGCCACTCGCCGGATCATGGCGGGCCGCAAGTGAAGCCCCAGCTGGACTCGCAGATACCCTTTGCCCCCACTCTGCACTTCCTGCCCTCTGGCAGGCCCATCTGTTCCCCACTCTGGAGCCCTCAGGAGGTGCCCTCTCACCCTCTGACACTGCCTGCCTGCCCTGAGGCTGAAGAGGGCGCAGGGCAAGGAGCCGGGGCGTGTCACAAGGGCGAGCCTGCCGCAAACCATCCTCATTTCACTGGTGGTGATGACAACGTGGGTAGGAAATTGGGGTCCTCCCTTGAAGCCCATAATAAACATGCTGCTGCCTTGATTCTTTAAAAAAAAAAAAAAAATTTCAACCCCAAATTTACAGGAGCCCTGGTGGAGTAGTGGATACACAATGGACCATGACCCTCAAGGTCTGAAGTTCAAAACAACGGCTGCTCTGAGGGAGAAAGAAAGGCTTTCTACTCCTGTGAACTGTGACAGTCTCAGAAACTTAGAGGGCCAGCTCTACCCTGTCCTCCAGGGTCGCTGTAAGTCAGCACAGACTCAATGGCAGCGAGTTGCTTTGGTTTGTGATCATTACTAGGGACAGACGGTCAGTTCTTTCTCCCATGAAGATGACTGGTAGATTCAAACCACCAACTATTCTGTCAGCAGTTAAGCACATAACTATTCATTATGCCACCAGTACTCATTTTTAAGTATTAAGAAATTCTGTTTTCTGATATTTACTGACAATAAATTTAAATCCAAATTCACTAAAAGGAGCTCACAACCTGCTCTACTAGGATGACAAATAATTATTTGCTCAAAGGAATGATGTACGTTGCTAAGAGCTGGCAGATTTGGGATACAACCACTTCTAATTGAGTTAACAGTAATTTATTCCAAGCTTAATTGTATTTAAAATTTTCAACTAGCCTGTTTTTTTTGATGTGGCTGAATGTCAATTAAATTAAATTAAGCCTATAATTTCATTTAGTTCTATGAAGTCTATGATCAAATGTAACTTCATTTTCAGCCCTACCATTTCACCTAAATCTTTAAACATCTATCCCTTTAAGAATGGCTGTACACTGGGGGAGTGCAGCGGAACAGCAGGGGAGGGGAGCAGCAAGATCCCCATGGAATGATGAGGGTGGACATTGGGGACAGGGTGTGGTGCTCCAACAGACTGGACTGGAAAACACTCTTAAAGGCCAGCGATCCTTGAACTAAACAAAAACAAAAACAAAAAAGAATGGCTGTACCTCTTTGCTGAAGTCTGTATTCAGAGGTTCAGCTTCTTTCAGATGGGCAATCTCTGCTGTAGGACTTTCATGGTTTGGCTTTGCATTATTTTCTTGAATGACAGTGTCTGGTTCCTTAACGGTACTTGATAACAAGTCATCCCTCCTTCGATTCTGCCCAAAAGATACGTATCAGTTATAGATTCATACTGTGTACACATACATATTTTAACATGAACCCAAACCTCACTGACATCAAGTCAATTCCAATGGGTAGTGATCCTACAGAGGGTCCCAAAGCTGTAAATCTTTACAGGTGCAGAAAGCCTCATCTTTCTCCTCTAGAGCAGCCGGTGGGTTTGAACAGCCAACCAGGTGGTTAGCGTCCAATATTTAACTACCAGCACCACCAGACCTTCTTATTCTTCCCGTAGTACCTGCCAACTAAAACACACACCAGACTGTTTCTGAGAGTAAATTATAGAAACCAGGTGGCAAATAAACATATATGTGTATATTGATATATAGGAGCCCTAGTGGTGTAGTGGTTAAGCACATGGCTGTAAACTGAAGGGCCAGTGCTCTGCTTTCTTAAAGATTACAGCCTTAACTTAATTGTGATGAGGAACGAACAACTCTTTTTAATACGCTTAAACCACGGAATTGAATGATAGGTGAATTTGATGTCAATAAAACGGTTTAAAAATAACAACAATGGAAATACAACTCAGCAGTAGGTATTTTGACTGACAGACTACTATATTGTTTGCTTCTCCACATGTACATTGCTCATCACCTTTCTTTGTGTGTGTGTGTTTATTTTATTATATATTGCAGCTTAATACACTAGCTAGCTTGGGAAACAAAAACAACAACAAACAAAGATTACAGCCTGAAATCTTATAGGACAACTCTCTTCAATCCTAAGGTTTCACCGTGAGTTAGAACTCACTCCACAGCACTGAGTTGGGCCTTTGCATATTCATAATGAGTTTGGTTTTTGAATATTCATAATGAGTTTTGCTTTTGCATACACGTGTACAGCAGTATTACACATATTTCCTACTTTTTAACCAACCATGTTGTAGAAGAATGTGCAGTCATTCAACTGTTATTCTGCTGAATCTCCATTAGCAGTGGCTGCTCTTGATTAGACGGGAAAGGGACTTCTACGATTACATGGAACGACTTGCGGCTGGTGCATACAGTTTATGCCAATATAAATGCTCAGAAACCTAGAGTAGGCAAAAACTGTCCACTAACCACAATAGACCACAAAGAAATTAATGAAAAGGTTCACTAGTTTGGAACCTCTGTGTTCAGGAAGCGGGGCACAAACAAACAGCATGACACAGAAGGCTGCCACTTGAACGGCTGCATTTGAGGCATCATGAATCGTCACTTGGGTTCTCGTGGAAAGTATCCCAAAGACAAGTGATCAGTAAAATGGTATCTCTGGCTACAATTAGGCTATGTTAAATTAGACAGAGAGTAACAGGCATTTTACTGGGAAGGGATCTGGGGACTATCTTAGTTTCTTACATATTACTTTAGATTTATTGAAAGCACTTTTATCTTCTTAGTGTTTCTACGCAGCAGACTGGGCACACTGCACTACTATTTAAAAGTCAAGATCAAGTCTGCGATTGGTATAAGAGCATTCAACAAGTAATTAAGCTCTACTCTATTGAACTTAGTTATTTCCATTCTACTAAGCTGTTTTATTGAAAGCATTCAATAATACAACTATTCATTCGATAGAACTTTAAAAACCCATGAATCACGGAACTCCCTGACGCTAAGATTCAAGTGATAGTATGATGATGAGCATAAGCAGTTGGAATACCTGAGGAATCTTGAGTGGATTGTCCCTTAAATTTGAGGGGCTTTGTAAGGGTGAATGGTCTGAAGCACCAATAACACTTAATCCTTTTTTCTTCTCCCTTAGGCATGCTTGCTGATGTCTCCTGATTCTTTCCATTTGTTCTTCCACCGTCATCCTGGGCCGCGTAGTTTCAGCCAAACAGAGCTGTTCTACCGCACTTCTTGGTCGTTCCTTGAAATTAAAAACAAACATGAATATAGAAAGTGAAGAACTGAGAAATATGATGGAAATAAACATATGTCCTTTTGTCTTCCAAAATTAAAAGCGCGTCATTGAATGTCACTTAGATAAAACTGGAAAAGCAATCAGTTACTTTGTGCTTCACTGGGAATTGGTGCCATATGATCAATTATAAAAAGGGTGAGGGAGAAGAGGCACCGAGCAGGCGTATTTCATGGTAAAAAGAACAACAGAAACCCACAGTTCAAAGCTGGGTAAAGGTGGCGGCTCTCAAGTTTGCTGACTGAGTTCTTCCATTTGCTGAGTGAGCAGCAGGAAAGGCCACCTGGTGCTGCTACTCTTGTGCAAATCTCCAAACGGATGCAAAGAGACTCGCTACTAAAAAGCAGGTATTAACTTGCATACAATACTCTGAATCACACATATCAACTATGAAAAGACAAAGGAAACATGCCAAGATATTTTATGACAATAGTGATAGGAAATATTTTTCATACCACTTACTGTTGTCTAGCTTGGAATCTTAATAATCTATTCAGCCATCCATCTATCAACTTCCCTACCTACCTACTAACTTATTATCTCTGGTTATGTTTATCGTTTCTCAAATTTGTTTCCAGTTAATCTGTTGTAAGTTGAAGTGTTTACCAAAATTAATCACCTTAGAAAACATTTTTCACATCTCACTTTCTAAAGATGTAAGTACTTAGACTGGTCCTTTTATTTTACTCTGCAAAATAAACATGAAAAAAAGATCCTGTAGAAACTAAAAGGAACAAGGGATAATGAAAAACCTTCCTATCGCAAATTCAACAATGATCTTCACTGATTCCACAAAAACATGTAAACACAAACAAATGTAAACACTCTCCAAGCTGGGGGAGCCACGTTATATGTCTATACCACTCTCATCCGGGACGTTTGCAGAGGGGTAAAGTGTCCGTGTAGAAGAAAATGTATTCTACATCCAGCAGTTCAAAAGGAAGCTCAATTAGTTATTGATTAAACCTATATTGGGTTATTCATAACTTAACTGTATTCTTTAAAATTACGCTGATCTGTTTTCTTAGAGGGTACAACATCACAAATAAGAAGGGTAGGATTTCTATATCTAAATACCGTTCTCAGATCCACCAGCTTCTTGGTTTTCCGTAACGTTACGTAGGAGGCGATGGTTGAAGACTCAGGGGTGGGTGATTTCGTTCTGGGAGGGACCACTCCAACGGGAAAGTGGGAACCTGACAATGAAAACAGCAGAAAGTTCTCCACGATGCCTTTCATAGAACACCGGGTTGTTTGGACAGATTCAATTTTCGAGGCTTTTAAATTTGGAAGACCTATAAATTGCATCAAAAGAGCCTGGAAAAATGTAGTAGCCCTTCACTAGTTTGCTTAATGAGTCAGCCAGTGATATTGCCAGACCAACTTAGGGTTAATTCAGAAATGTGGTATGATTAATTGGTGACATTAATAACATATAAAAATAATTATAAATTTCCCCTTTGTTGGATTGAGGTCTTTATAAAATTAATTAGTTTACTTTTAAAGCAATCGGTTGCCAGACCCCCTCGCCCTTGCCCTTTCTTCATCTAGATCAGTGGTTCTCAACCTTCCTAATGCCGTGACCCTTTAATACATTTCCTCATGTTTTGGTGACCCCTCAACCATAAAATTATTTTCGTTGCTACTTCATAACTGTAATTTTGCTACTGTTATGAATTGCCATGTAAATATCTGATATGAAGGATGTATTTTCATTGTTACATATTGAACATAATTAAAGCATAGTGATTAATAAAACATATGTAATTATATATTGTGGAATATTTAAGTGTTTTCTGATGGTCTTAGGCAACCCCTGTGAAAGGGTCTTTTGACCTCCAAAGGGGTCGGGACCCACAGGTTGAGAACCGCTGATCTAGCAATACAAGGTGCTTTCAAAAAGTTGGTGGGAAAATTCCAGTATCTTTTCATTTCATTTTTCTATTTAGCACATTAGCATTTTCTACTTCATGGATCATAGACCCTTTAAAAATCCAGTGAAGACCACAAAGGCATTTGAAGCGCAGCTTGACCACACCCACTGGGCTCCAGTAGATTTGACTCCTGCAACCTGGGAGGGGCGTCACAGGGCTTCTAATCTTGATGGAAGCAAGCGCCCACTCCTCGCTCCCTGCGAGCCGCCCATGGACTCTCTGGGCCGCTGAGCCCTTTGACTACGGTGCCACCAGCGTTCCTTGAGGTGCAGCTAAAATGTGTGAATTTACTACGACTTCATCGTTAGGAAACTCCTTGGCAGTGTGGCTGGCGCTCGCTCCCCCTTTACATCTTCCCACGGCTGCTCTGCATCACGAAGTGTTCACATTGGGGGACGGGAGAAGCAGCGCCGTGTAATTCCTCACAAATTACAGAGCAGGAAAGTCATGGCTCAGGAGGATTAAGTGATTTGCCAAAGGTGTATTAACATTTGCCTTAATAAAAAACCTACAAATATACAGCAAAATACCCTAAACAAAACAAAAAACAAACAGCAAGGACTCCTAGGGGGTAGAGTGAACACATCACTTTTATAGTTAAAAATAGTCCAATAAATAACAAACATGTACATTGTTAATATGATAAAACTAGTAAATTAACACATAAAATGCATTTTCATTGTCATCTTGTATAAACAGAATATATACATTTTTCCCTCTAGTCAGTGTCTTGTACTGAGGGTAACACATACACACACACACAGTGGCTTTAAAAAAAAATGTAAACCTCAGTCTCCATGACTTACTGGAAGTTACTTCAACTAATCATAATAATTTTCAAGTGTGTATGGAGAAAAAAAAAGTTTATTAAAAAAAACCCAAACAGCAGCAACCAATTTGGGTATGTGCTGGACATAAAGGAGAAAAATGAGGCTTTCTACTCCTGCAGAGTTTCAGTCTTGGAAACGGGGAAGTTCTAGCCTGTCCTACAGTTGCTATGGGCTGGAACCCACCCCATGGCAGTTAGTTTGGTTTTAGGTAGGATATGAACCACAAAATCTCACAGCTTAATTAAGCTTCAACATTATTTATGAACTTTGAGTATATTTGCTACAGCAGTTATACAGTTGATAATGTGAAGAGCTGAACACTCATATAGTACAGGTAATTAACTATACAATTTAAACAATAAAACTGGACTTGTAAATTCTTTACTGGCCCTTTTAAATAACTCTAACCTAAAAATGTTTTTGATGTAGAAAATACATGCATAAGCAAAATAAATGATGGCTAATGTACTTAATTTTTTGCAAGTCAAATTCCTAGTAGTGAATTAGTAGCACTGTACATAAGCACTTGCTCAATAATTTTTATATTTGGCCAACTTAACCAGTCACATCTATTCGATATACATCACAGGGCATCACGACTCTGTAGAAGCCATTAAAAAAAAGAGGAGACTAGAATATCCACAGTTAAAAAAAAAAAATCGCAAAGTTCTTATTTCAAAGATACTTTAAACACTTCCGCTAAAGAAGAGACAGCAATTCAGAAGCACTACAGAGATTAGAAATGTCACACAGGTAACAAATGACTTCTCTTGTTCTTCCATATCCTGTCTGAAGGGGGCAGGCACGACTCAGCTTCAGTGGGCCAGTGCTGGTGCTGGAGAACAGGCCCTGTCCAGCCAGAACTTCTGAATTTGTAAGAAAAACTACAAAGTCCCCATTTTAAAATGTTGGCAATTACTGTGGTTTCTCTTTTTGGGGTGCCTAATAAAAATTATATAACAATTTAATCATAAGAATTAATGAAAAGATTTGAAATCATTATCAATTAGAAATTTGCTGCCCATTGAAGGAAAAATGTATCATGATTATGTAAGATTAATTAGAAAATCTACAAGTTATAACTTACTGTATAAATACTAAGAATGAAATCATTAAGAAAGGCAATTAATCCAGGTTCCAAAAGTTCCAGAGAAAGGACTGCAGCCTTGTGTCTGTGCTGGGACAAAGTGTAAAATATGCTCCAATTGCTAACCTTTAACAACTGACGATTCCATATCTGAAACAGTTTCTGATTTTTCTTCTCCATTAGATTCATCAACTTCTGCCACTGTGGTTAATTCTGGTTCACTCTTGTAGAGCCTATAATCTGGACCCTTGAAAGGAAGACATATAATTTTTAAAAAGGCAAGCCAGACTTTTAAAATGTTTGTTTAAAACAAATAAAAATAAAATGTTTTAGATCAAACTCTAAAACTGAATAGCCCCACACTCGGTTATGTTAAAAGGAAAACGACTATAAATGTGCTACAACTGAGGAAGAAAAAAACCCCCAAAACCTGAAAGATTCATAACAGGTAAACAATTTTTTGTTCTGAAGTTGAAAATATTCATCTTTAAGGATAAAGTTATTAGTGCACTTTTTATCATGGAACAACTGAGGTCTAAAAATAATTATACCATATGAATATAATTTTTTTTCATTTAAACGGTGGTCTGAATAAATGAGATCTTAGCATCAAGATTCCTGTTTTAGTCAATGTGCGGTTATCAAAATGAGCTCTACCTCTTCCCCTCCCTTTCTGTTTATTATATTTTATAGTTATTTGCTCAACCCGAACCCCGTAGGTCTGATGTCCAGAAGGTGAGCGTCCCCTTGGCAATGCTGCCATCCTTGAGCAGTTTCCATAGACTGGACGCACCATGCCCACATCCCAGCCTTCTCACCACTCCCAGTAACCATCTTGCTCTGCCTCTAGTCTTTCAGGTCTAACGATATAATTTCATCCCACATATCCTAAAATGTTCTATTAAAAAAATGGCTCCTTCGAGATATGCAAAAATAAAGTAACCATAATATAAAGATATAGACACAAATGAGGATGGTAAAACCAAAACAAGAAGACCACGTATGATAAGGTTAAATAAATCAACAAAAAGCACCAGCTTAAAGCAAGATTATAAAAAGATGGGGTGGTAACAAAGAAAGACTGGCTGTCAAAAAGAAAAAGAAAAAAAGGTATGTATGACTGATGATTCTGTGGCTATTCCAGCCACTTACACAGTGAGATCCATTTCGTGGATATCCTTGAACTTGGTGAATCTTCTTGTCTTCAGGCAGATGCACTGGGCCCCTGCTATAACAGAGCAAGGAGCTGCTATCACAGGGCAGAGGGGGGATTATGGGAGGCTGCTCTGTAAAGTCATAAGACCGAGGAAGTGGAGGACGAGGTGGGACTACTTCCTCTTCCTAAAGATTGTAGAATAGTCACCTTATTTAGATAAGCATATTGAATTAAGTATATCTAATTTTTAAATGGTAAATTAACTTATTCACTTTAAAATAATTAAAGGGATACTGTCAAGCTGAAAGTCTCATCCTGAAAAGTAAAACCAAGTATTTTTCTACCGCCAACAACTGGGTTGTAAGTATACTATTTTAATTTCTTCTTTGACATTGGCATGTTTTACATGCACGCTCAACATTAAAAGCGAAGGAACGAAATCAATTTTAAAAATTGTATTTTGTTTCTTTCCAATTCTAAGAGGAAAAAAGGAAACATCTCTCTTTGGTTGGCTTTTATATAAAATTCAAAATGACTAATACTTTCAATTAGGTTGACAATATCTCTTTGGAACTTTAATTTCTTTATGTCATGCATGAGACACAACCCACTTAGCTCTACAAAAAAGTATGGCAGCATTAATGCTCTAACACAGATGAAAAACAGCGATTCAACTTTTTTTGCAATAAGAAAAGGAAAGAAAATGCACATTTGTTAAAAACACGAAGTTACCAAATCAATAAAATTTCAAGATGACAATAACTTTTGAGTAGAACATACTGAAATACCATATTTTGGTTAAAAAGTAGAGAAAGCTTAATTTCTTATAATTCATGCTTTAAATTATTAAAATCATTAGAGTTAGAAATACAATCCACACTTACCTCATTTTTGTACTTGACTGTTGAAAAAGGCTTTGAAGCTATCAGACCTATTAAAAATTATAAAATAATTATACTAAATACATCTTAAATCTACTGAAAAATAATTCATCTTACTTATTTTTGAGGAAAACTTCAATCCCTCTCCTAAGGTTTGGTATTTGAAACAAATTACATTAAGTAAATAAATAAGCCAGTTTTAACAAAAGTGTGGGAAAAAATTTATTTTTTAAGTATTATTGGTGTTAGGATAATTTGATGTAAACTTTTCAAATGGCAATGTGCCTGTAACTATTAAAATGGAAAACGTGTGTTAGAAATCTCCCTGCCTGGAATCGATTAGGTATGACCGGGTATGTGGTTTGGTTCAGATGCATGTGCATTGACGATCATTTTGGTTTGAGGGCAACGGGTAGGCAGCAAACACAGGAAAGAACCCACCTGTCTAACAATATAGAAATGGATAAATAAATTACTGAGTCAATATATGGAGGGCAAAACCAAACTATGGAAAGAGTATAATATGAACCCATGTTTGTCTGTTGTAGCAGAAAACATTTTCTAAAACCAAAATACTAGATTTTCCTCCCTCACCAAAACATTGGTTGGTTTAGGGAGGCTAGTTTAGTGAGGGTGGTGTGAGTTGGGCTTTTGTGGTACCGAGTGTGTATTATGAAAAATAGCCTTTGTTTTCTGATGTCAAAGTATCCACTAAAGTAATAAAACGAATCTAACTATATGTGCCATTCCACATACACATAGCAGTGTGGCCCAAAGCGGCATAATAAATTCAAAGCGAATTTACCCGTTTCTGTCATGCCTCTTTGCTGTTTGTGTTTACTTAGCCCTTCCATGACATCTTGAATTCTCCAAAGCTCTTTTTGAATCTGTGCACGCTGAATTCCTGCTGTTTCAGTCTATCAATAAAATGGATAAACCACGAGCAAGAAAAACTATTGAAAGGAGTCACATTTACACACAAATATAAATCTACAAAATATTAGAATTCTTAACTGTAACAGATTAATTTTTGAGAATATTTAGCATGACTGTAATACTCTCCCAGTCTTCAAACCTCAGTAGAAAAGATAACAGAGAAAGCAGAGAAAGAAAAATAAACTTTAAATTTAAGTGTAACATTTCACATCTCTTCAATGGCTGAGTAAAGAATCAATACTTGAACAACTAAGCTTTGCCTGAGATTATTTATGATCCCAAGAAAAAATGCTCTTTTAGGAAGGTCTAGAAATGGGAAACTAAACTAAAACAAGACTCCACAATTGCCAAATTGAAACAAAAACAACTTTCTTTGGGGTGGGGAGGATTGGCTAACCACATATGAGGGGGCTTCAAAAGTTTATGAAACAATAGAATTTAAAAATAATGGAATTTTCCCACAAGTCGTTGAAAGCTCTCTTATATTAGTTACTTAAGTCCTAGAGAGGGCTTCCAACAGTTCTTCTAGTCCAGGCCAATAAAGCAATTGGTAACAAAATGTGAATTATTGAAATGTGAGTGTACTAGAACAATAACTAGAATGGGAAAAATTATAGGTCAACACTCTGCTTTGAACTTAACCTTCCTTTCCTGTGCTCTTACTTACAGGATACGTGTTGCACAGCAACCAAAGATCACAATAGGCACAGCCAGGAACAATGGTGCCCAGCTCAAAGATGGCAGCCAATCACATTGCTTTCAATGCAGATAGCTTTCCACAGTCCTGGTGATAATCTAATCTCCAACAGGAGGTTCCTGAAAGGACTTAAAATGCTTCTCGAGTCTCTCATTCCTAGGATTTGACTTGTAATTTTTTTCTATTCCAGTTATCGCTCCAGTACACCCACATTTCATAAATTTACACGTTCAGATTTCAGTGAGTTGGCTTTGACTGAACCAGTTCTAAAACCCTGGCTCGAGAACAGAAAGGGAAATGCCACCGACCACCCCTACCCCCTTAAGAAAGAACGAAGGAAAAGTGACTGTCTAATAGATGTAGAAGAGCTTTGACTGATAGAGTTTAATCCATAATATTTGCAAGATGAACTGTAGAAACTAAATTTATCAGGGCCATTTTCCTCTATTCTATGTTATATCCACTTTCTTACTTCTAATATTCTTATTGTGTCCTCAGACTAAATACTCTAACACAAACTGAGAAACAAGACTAAATGCTTCTTTCCTAAGTTCTTAATAGAGCTATGACTCTTACTAATAAATACTTTAGGTAACAACAGCATGGAAGTTTATTTAAGAAACAGGTAATAAAGTATAAAACTTGTTAGAGTTCTAGCAAAGTAGTTTTTCCACCTAGTATTCATTTTTGGAGACTGTAAATATTAGATATATTTCACCAGCAAGTTAAAAAGTTCTCAGGAAAAAAAAAGTTTTCAGAAGAGTAGAAATGCCCAAGTTTAACTTGAAAGACTATGTACTCACTCTGCCTCTGAAAGACACTCTTACAGTTTATTAGCTAGTTTTCCAAACCACAGGCTAGACGGGTCAAGGTAAAAGGAGGAAGCACTCACACAAGACCCAAACACGACAGCCCAATTAATGAGAATACTCATATAGACTTATTAAGACAGAAGATCAACTATAAAAATCAGGTATTAGCACCTATTCTATCAAGCATACCCATTATGTTTGTACTGACAACAAAATGGCACATTATATATATATATATTTATGGTTGCAGAAAGCAGCGAGACTGGACAGTGCTTCGCTATGTTAAACATAGGGGTCACTGTGAGCTGCAGGTGATTTATTGACAGCTAACAGCAACAGCCATAACAGATTACATAGTCTGTGGACGGAGAAGGACATGTTGCCCATGATATACTGCCTTTACTTATTAGTCCTTTAGGCACATTATATATATAATACATATTCCCCCCTCCTATCTGAAAAGTATACAATGCAAATCTTATTTTTGTCTCACTTTCAAACACTGAGCAATATGCGTTTTCCTTTGACAAATTAACTACTCGTATTATTTGTCTATTTTTCTATTGGACTGTTTCTATAGATCAAAAAGAAAATGCTTCTTGTATATCTGGATAGTAAATCCTTGTTAAATTATATGGCTCAAAGACACCATTGTTTTCCAACATATCATCTATTAACTTTACACTGCTTTGAGAAGAAACCTTTAGTTTTCAACAAGTACAATGTCAATAGTTTCTTTTTTCTTCTTCCTTTTCCTGTGCTCTCACTTACAAATTTGCTTGTTAACAGTATTTTTGGGGTCCTGTTTGGGAAGTCCACCCTACTTTACATTTCTCCTACCAGTGTCAGGCATTCCTGTCTACCTGTAGGTCTCTACTGCATTTGAGGGCCACCTTTGCATATGGCATGAGCGAGGCATTGATACAGCAGTGAGGCAGTTTTCCAATACTATCTACCACATTATCTTTTCTTTATGAATTAACTATGAAGTGTTCATAGTCTGATGTCGAGCTTTTTATTCTATTCTATTGTTCTATTTTTCTCCTTATACCACGTCTAACACTATGATTTGTATTGTTGGCCTTTTGCCTTATTTAAACAAACACATAAACAGTATGTTTCATGCGCCTGGCTCTATTTTATGTGCTTCAAAAACAGCAATATGTTTGGTCTTCATAGTAACCCAACGGGTCGGGACGATTATGATCCTATTTTACAGTTGAAGAAACTGCAGCACAGACTGGCCAAGGAACCAGTTCAATGCCACGTGTGCAGCGCTGTTCCTCCCGGCCCCTGCTTTTCTAAGCCTGCCCTTTGGAATTTTCATCTTGATAATGCGGTAGCAATTATACTTATTTATTTATGTAGGTCTTCTTCATCCTGTAACTCAATCTTCACAATAAACATTTATTTTTGATGTTGCATTAGGGGCTGACCAAACACTGTGACTCACAGTCCATGGTCTTGAGCTAAGGGATTGTTAAAAAAATAAGAACCAAGGCAAACAAATATATGTGGCAAAGATTATATGTATTAGCAACATCTGAATTATCTTGTATCTGGCTTCTAACAGGAAGTTTGTTGACCAGCAGGCTAAATCTTACTGTGATAGTTGATTGTCATGGTGTCAACCTATGATACAGTCTTCCTCTTTTGTATTTATTATCTTATACTTGTAGTTGATTATTGACGGCATCACTGTAGGGTTTAATAGAAGTTATCACTATATGAGGCTATTTAAATATGTTTTTAAAAATAAATTTTAAAAGTACAAGAAAAATCCTAGAGTCTGAATCACACTAGCTACACTTGAAGTGTTCAACAGCCACATGTGAGCAGCGGCTGTTATAATGGATGGATAGTGAACAGTTCATCTTTGATAGGTTGATCCTGTGGATCTTTTATTCATTCTACTGATTTGCTTGCTGAGTCTACTGTGATTCCAATAAAAATGATCAAATATATATATGTATCTGCATAAGTAGCAAGTGACTTACATTGTTTTTAAAAACATAACCTATCTCCATTCTTCTAAAACTTTAAAATATGCTATTGTCCCCATTTTAGAGATGAGAAAACTAAAACATGAAACAGTCCCAAATCTACCTATTTGTAAAGCCAGGTTCCTTATATTGAATGGTATGGCAGCTCCTTCTATGCCAGTCCAGATAATAGATTACATATAATTAGACCCCCAAAAGGACATCAAATGCAGAATAGTGACACTAATTTTAAAATAGGTAATTTCTATAATTTGATAGTCATAGAATTCAATACCTCAATCCCAAACAATAAGCTAGACTTGCGAGGAATAAGAAGCTACATTTGTAGGGAGAAGGACAGAAGGCAGACAGTGAGGAGGGACAAGGAAGACTCTAGGGTCACCAGACACCTGACATAATCAAGAACTCCTCTGGAAGATGGGGATGGGCTACTTGGTGACACCTATGATTCCCACTGTTTAAGGTATTCAAAGTGCGTTTGAGTTAGCTGAAGTAAAAACCAAAACAGTAAGAGTATGTACAAATCTAAGGTGGGTTGAACAGTGCCAGTCAAAGCAATGTACCTGAACTTCACCAAGTCGATCAAGTTGTTCTTGCATTTGGTTCCTAGTAATAGTTACATCATATTCTAACTTATCATATTCTCTCCATGCTCGTTCCAATTCCTAAAACAGAGAATATTAGTGGTTTCAATAGGAAAATCCGCTTCTATGGTTCTACCACTACAATTATATTGCGATTTTAGAAACTCAAGTAGTTTATATTGGACAAAATATAATATAATCCTCTATGGGTTTTTCTTTTCTAACCTATTTAAATAAAATCTACCGAGCTGTATTTAAATGTATGAAAAAATAAAAATAAACAAACAAAAAACAAAAGCAAAATTCTACCCCATTCTAACCATTTATGATTTCATGACATCAAAATACTTATATTGATTACAAGATCTCAAGAGTAGGAAATATTTTGAAGAAATACTTTACTTCATTCCTTATAAAAAGGAAAGATTTTAAAAAGCAGAAAAGGGATATATAAAGCATTCTTTATCTGTACTGATTTAAACTTCTTAATGAACAAAGCTATCAAATGCTTTATATTTTAGTATCTTGGATTTTTAATAAGACACCAGAAACTTAACATGATTTTATTTAGGATGAATTTACAGTGATTTTAAAAGAAGGAAAATTTTTACAGCGATGTAATAAAACAAACACAGGTAACTATATAGCAGCAAGCCAATAAATATTGCTCATAGAGACTCAGTATAGTCACTATCCATCTATAATTTTCCTCTCTAGAAAACAAAAATTACAAAGTCCTAAATAAGAAGCTTTTGATACTTTTTTTAAAAAACAGCTTATAATCTATTGTGCATACAAAGATTCAATAGGTGCTCAAACACACAATTTTTTATCATCTCTTTTCAAGGTTGCGGCAGCAATGATCTCAAACAATGATAATTGTGAGGATGGTGCAGGACAGGGAGTTAATTGTTCTACTGCACATGGGGTCCTTATGAGTCAGAGCCACTCTAACAACAATAACCGCCAGCCTGTGGGAGTGCAACATTCATTTATTCATAGGACTATGAGGATATCATTAAGACGCTGATGGAGGGTAGGTACTCTATTTGATCACTACTGCAAAATCAGAATATAGTGTGGTGTTGGTACTTTTGAAAGAATCAACAGAAAGATCCTGTTAAATGAGTTTGTGAATGAGCATGCATGAATTATTAACTTAGAACTGTCCATAAGCAAGGGCTGCTTGCCTTGAACTGCTTTGAATGAACCAGATTGGTCCTGTATCATTCACACGATGAGTGGTGGATCGGATCATTCTGATCTACAGGGTTTTCCTTGATTTTTGTTTTAGGAGGAGATCCCAGGCCTTTCTTTTTAATTTGTCTCAGTTTGGAAGCTGTTTGGTGTCGTAATAGCACTTCAACCCTCTCCTGACATACGGGTGGTTAGCAGTACCTAAGGTGTATCGGCAAGGCGCTGAACCCAGATTTCCTGGATGAAACGTAAAAATTCTTTCTACCATTGGCCCCACTCCTCACCCCTCCCCTGAGAGAAGTGTCAGTTTAACAGCAGCAATAATCTTGGGGGGGGGGGGGCGCACAGAGTGTGAAGATGAGTGAAAAAAGAAGCAATACCGTGTTTTTGAATTCCTAAAGGTTCGTTTAAATGGTTATTTTAAAATATTCTACAATTGGCTTAAAATCACTTTTAATAACGTAACTAAGTGTTAACATTTTTAGCTAGTTAGAATAATTGTGTTTTGAATTTGAGGATGTCTCCTAATCAGGTTTTATAACTAATTATCTTTAAAGAAAAAAAGAAAAGAGGGAAATTAAGTTGGTTGTTGTTGTTTTAAAATCATCCCTTCCTATGAGGGTACCCACTAAAACCCAAATTCCCCCCACCCCCACAAAGCTATGTATTTAAATTCTTTTACAAAACAACCTTATCACCTTCCAAGTATGCTCCATTATACTTAATACATTTGTCAAATCTGCAATTCCATTCTTGGAAACACTTTTCCAACTCATCTGTTTGCAGGGCTGACAGCACCTCCCTCGTTTTTTTTCTTCACCTCTTTTACATCTTCAAATCACTGTCCTTTCATGTCCCTCTTCATTCGAGGAAACAAAAAGAACTCTCATGGAGTGAGGCCATTTTCAATTTTCCTAATCCAGGAAGTCTTGTCGCTGCTCGATATCAACTGGCTTGAGGCTCATAATCCTGAGCACTCCGGGTCATCTGACTTTACTCCGGGCCCTTGGCCATGATTATAGCTGGGCCAAAACACAAGTGTCCAGGGGAGGGCAATTTCAAGAAAACAGCAACCATGGAAGAATAGCAGTTTTCCTCCCACCACCTGGCTGAGGAATGAAAAGCATCCAGCAGCCTGGTAGCATGGCGCTTATCCGTCCAGCTGTGATCTGCATAGTCAGCAGTGCAGAACCACCAGCAGCTCCTCAGGAGAAAGACTGAGCTTCTCACTGCTGTAATGGTTACAGTGGCAGAAACCCGCAGGAGTCTGCACGGATTTGATGGCAGCGAGTCGGTTTCGTTTTTGAGTAGATTATACATGTACAATGTTAGAAATCTTAAAATGTGTACTTAGTAAATTAAGTGCACACACACTGAAAGGAACAATCGCTCTGGTGCAGGGGGTTGCATATTGAACTGTTACCCCCAAGGTCGGCAGTTTGAACCAAGCGTCTGTTTGATGGGAAAGAGGAGGCAGTCTGCTTCTATAAATATTTACAGACTCAGAAACTCTATATAGTAGTTCTCTTCTGTCCTGCAAGGTCACTATGAGTTGGAATTGATTCAAAAGCATTGGCGAGTTTTAATACCGTTCAAATATAAATTTAGCATAAAGCCACATGCTATCAGAAGATACCAGTCCCCGACGAGCTTCGTCAAGCAGAGGGTGAGCTAAAAAAGGGAAAACTCTTGATGCGATGAGTCAACACTGTGACGGCAGCAATGGACTCAGACGGCAATTGTGTGGAAGGGGCAGAGCCAGCCGTGTCCCGCTCTGTTGTGCTCAGGGTTGCTAGGAAACGGAGCCTACTTCGTGGCATCTAACAAAAGTCATATTGTAGTATTTCTAGGGAAAAAGGAAGTTGAGAATATGATGTCATCCCATGAATGAATTCCTACAACCTCGAATCACAGAGATGAGTCTCATGTTGCAGGTTCTTCCCCATTTCCTGTCCCATTCTTCCCACACACTGGGATCAGAGCTTAAGTAAGCTCTCTGGACCCGGCCCTTCAATTTGTACTCTATTTCCTGAAGGGTACCCCAACTAAGACGGCAACACACTGTATAACTTATACACCATTCTTTTCTTCTACTCAGACTTAGATAAAAGAAGCGGCAGCAAAGAGCGTGCACAAGGACAGGGCATGCTTGCAGCAGGTGTGACAGATGGGCTGTATGGAGAGGAACGTCAGCATCAAGAATGAAGTGAAAGGTACGGAGACAAGACTGCTTCACTTGTATGCCTCGTTTTAAATACCTCAGTGGCCCATGAGGTCAGGAAAGTTTCTTTCTAGAAAGAAGCTTTGATCTACAGAGGCGTTAATGTTACGTACCACCTATGCCGGGGTATTAGATTTGAAACAATTCCTCAGATTGATGTGCTACATGCAAGGAACTTGCTTGGATTCTGCTGGCATCAGGTAATTCAAATTTCAATCTAGTCATTATTCATGGAGTACCAGCCATATGCACACTAGTATTTGTAGCCTTAAGCCACAAATAAAAATACATTTACATTATGGTACAAATCACATCGTTTGTATTCGATGCAATAAAGTTATGTCTTACAAGAACCCATTCGGAGTTGGTAATAACCATTGATTAATCCTGAAGGCAAGGAAAAAGAAAGCAAGAAAGTGATTATATACGACAACAACCAGAAGGAGATACTGAAACAAGATTTATTTCTGTTCAGACCTTTTTTACAAAGTTCCTGTCAGGGCTGGATGGTGCAGATGACTCTAAGCCTACTGATGAGGCGATTTTAAGTTTCCAAACCCGATTGGTGTGAGGGCTATGTTGGGTACAAGTGAACATTGTACACTCCCTGGGATTTCCTGGACTTTAAATTTCAAGCAGATGCCAAATCCTTGGAAAGCTTTTCAATTAAACGTCAGCATTGCCCACCATTTTGATTCAATGTTGGTTGCGAGAGACGGGCGGCAGCTTTCCTTCAATAGCTTGGCATTGACAGCTTAGCCTATTTACTTCTCCTAATGCTTTATTTCCTGTCCTTCAGGAGAAACCATTTATTCCTCTTAGTCAAGTCTAGGTCCTGCTTCTTCAAAAGTGTCTCCCACATTCTCATCTCTGTGTCATGGCTTCAGGTGTTTTGTCCCATGTGCACCACCTTTATCTTCGACCTCCTTATCCAAGCCATACGAACACGGCTTAGCTCAACGATGACTTTCTCGTATTCTTAAGGCATTCCAGGTGTATGCTCCTGGGACACAGGTGTGGCAGTTACAAAATTTCATGTCAATTTGAAGATATATAAAAGTGTAGGGGTGGAGTTCAACCTGATGGTGCCTCCTTGTGGGTATGGTCTCATCATAAGGAGGATCCTGGGAACACCCCCCAACTCTGCCTTCACCTTCTTGCAGGGGGACCCTAGTTGCTGCCAGCCCTGGTACTGCAGCCACTGCCTTTGGATCCACTTGACTTTGCACCCACCCGCCTGTGAACTCCCTGCATTCTACATCATTGCATGTGACTGTGTGAATCTGAAGAGGGATTGATGGACTAGTATTAGACTTATGGACTTGATCTGGAGTGGACTGGGATGTTTGCTTGATAACTTCTTGATAAAAAGTACTCTCTTACACATATGAGTGTCACTGGATTTGTTTCTCTGGTCAACCGGTCTAACACAACAGGTTATAGCTGGGTTTGAGTTCTAGACCTAGCATTTATTAGCTTTGTAACCATGAGCAAGCCCTTCATCCAATATTTGATGAGCCGTATTACAGGGTTGCTATGAGCTGGAATCAACTCAATGGCAGTGAGATCATTATAGTGCTGGATGCTGGAGCTACAAAGGTGAATGAAGATGCTTTCTGATGTCAAGAAGCTCACAATTTAAAGGATACTACTGTATATACTTGTGTATAAGCCGCGTTTTTCAGCACATTTTTAATTCAGTTTTTGTGGTGAAATTAGGTTTCTCGGCTGATATTCATGTCGGCTTATACTTAAGTATATATGGTAGTTGTTGTCTTTTAAAATATGTAAACATCACAGTGTAATTAAGAGATTCAAAGGAGGTAGGAAACGTGTTTAAAATGGGAATATAAATATAAGGTATTTAAGAACCAAAAAAATGAGCTCCAGTTTCTACAAAACCTTTAAAAACAAGTCACATCTAGAATGTCAATATAGTATTTATAATCAAATCCATGTTGAGATGTTAGTATTGTGCCAGCTTGGGAAAATCCTTCTTAGTTAAGCTATATTATTTGTTGATTTTCTTAAAAGGCAGCTGCTGCTCCCTCAACAAGCCCTGGGAGGAAGCGTCTTCGCTAAGAGGGTCCATTTGCCAAGGTTTCGCTTTCAAAGGGCTCTCCTTGAGCAGGTGCTCTTACCAATGTTTACAGGTGGCCACATCACAGGATCCAAAGCAGCCCGTGTAAAGTCATATAACACTCAATTTAAAAACGCCAGGTAAGACTTTTAGACTTGGTAATCCCAGAGACGCTCTGTAAAGTCCCATGACTACAGGCTAAAAGGCTCTCCTAATTACAGTTCTCACTTAACCCTATCATCTGAACTTGGAACCCACTGCAGCCAGGCAGTGGCAGTGTTGACGACTTCTTACAAGCTTTTCAGAGATGCCTTTTCCTGAAAAGGCTGATTAGGGGATTCCAATTACGACCTTCCCAAAATTATTCTCATCTCCTAAAATCCCCAAAATACTCATTTTCTTAACGTAATAAATTTTAAGGATTATTCATTAGCATGGCACATACAAATAGGAGTACTTCTCTGTAAACATCTGGGTCACACAGAACAAATGCCCATTAATTAGGAAAGAAAAGATGACCTTTTATTTTTAGGTTCCTGAGATAAACACAGAAAGTCCTTGTAGCACAGTGGTCGCAGGTAGTAAGGGAAGGGTCAGTGGGTTGAATACACTGCTCCTTGGGGAAAAGATGGGGTAATAATTTGCTTCTATAAAGATTACATTCTTAACAAGCGGCCATCAAGTTCCGAGGCAACAAAGCCCATGTGGAAGCAGCACACCAGCCTGTGCGATCACGAGGTGTCGAAGGGATCAGGTATTAGGCGTCA